AAGCAATAAAACTGTAATGAAGACAATCATAGAGATCACAATATGATCTTAAATGAAGAAGATAATTGTGTTAAATTAAATATAAAACAGTAGCAAAATGTGCCACAATACATCAATAAAAGGGTCCTGCACAATACAAGCAACTTTCTGTAATAGCAATTTCTTTAAAAGTTCAGTCTGGTTACAAACCTGAATTTGTAGACCATAAACAAAAACTTTCTAATGAAAAACTTTAATATACTCAAGAGGTAAGTTACAAGTTGATATAAACGCAAGAAAAAAACTGACATCGTTCTTCAATGTTCATTAAGAATGAAATATAATGTATTTTTTAAAAAGAAAGTCAGGGATTTCATACATGTACATGATCTAAACTACTTAAGCTATACATTTTAACATTGTATAGTGTGATTTTTCCCAGAAATATTAAAAATCTACACTATATCACTACAAGTACTAGGACAGCGGATGCCCAGCTAATTATGGGTCCATCTCCAATGAATCTGTGTGGTGCATAGGCTTATAAGTAGTTTATAAAGATTAACTATCTGTCACTGACAAATATTCAGAGTTTAAATGCCATACAAAATATAGCTTGCTATCCTCCAAAGAAGAATAGTTACTTGATACACCACTGGTAGTATGTTCAGTCCACCGACTAATACTCAGTTTTACAGTGATCAATTGATGAAGAAATGCTTTGATGCAAACAACTTCCAGAATAAACCTGATTCTAACTGAATTGTTCTAACATTTTTTGTTGATGGACTCCTCACCATATTTTGGAAGTGCTGCAAAGGAGCAACTGTCTTCCCACTTGATGTATATTATTAATAGTTGGTGTGAACTGTCAGAGATGGGCTCACTCCCTATTAAATTGGAGTTCCAGTGGCAAAGCACACCACTACTTTCTGACAGTGTGCTATACCAGTTCTTTTGGTAATACAGTGTAGATCACACTGGAAAAAGGTTTGAATAATGATTATCAGTGTTAGGCCTTCTGTTTTAATAACAATATTTACCTGTATATCTGAAGCCTACAATGATACCAGTTATGTATCACATCACTAGAACAATCAATATTTGGTACTTTTATATTCACTTTTCAGATTTGCAAATGACAACAGAAAAATTTGGAATTTCTAAACTAACTCCATAAACGGTTGTCTTTGTTATCAAAATTTATTCCTTTTGCTAAAGTTTATAAATTAAAATCATGATAGTGTTTTATAGTTACGTACAGAATGGATGGGTTATGTATTTCATATACAATTAACTGCTGCTCTAAAAATTTGTTTTGCTTTCCCTGGTTAGTTTCAACATTTTATCCAAGTTCTCTAACGTATACAAAATTAAGAAGGAGATACCAATTCGTTTGAGTACAATGATCTCATAATTTATTTTTGAATTTTTCTGGCTTAGATTTCCTTATATGCAAAATGCAGTTATAGGGTATTATATGATCTATTTTGAGCAATCATGCTAATTGTTATCTTAAATAGAGCTTAAACAAGTATTTTTACATTTTTGGTCCTATTTACAAATTATGCTATGCCCAACAAATGTATTATAAGGATATCAGAACATACTTCTACATGAAATTTTTCTATGTCATTTGGCTGTATTAATCATATATTAGTTCATGTTTAGTGTGTTTATCCATGAAATTCATCTACAGTTTTGGATATAGCTTGACAAAATTTAGTAGGCAAACTTGAGGTGGCCTGGGAAAGATGTTCTTATCAAATCGTATAACCCCTACACTAAGGGTGGCTAGAACATACCTGACAGGTTACTCAGGCATTATGAGGGTCTAGTAGTAGGTTTACAGGATTGCCAAGCACAAATCTGTTATTGTATTTTGTGTTACTGACCCACCTCTGAATCCTGGTGACACTGTTAAACTGTGTTAAGACTCCCAAGATAGCAGGACCAGTCTTAGTACAAATGGTGACACTGTTAAACTGTGTTAAGACTCCCAAGATAGCAGGACCAGTCTTAGTACAAATGGTGACACTGTTAAACTGTGTTAAGACTCCCAAGATAGCAGGACCAGTCTTAGTACAAATAGTGACACTGTTAAACTGTGTTAAGACTCCCAAGATAGCAGGAACAGTCTTAGTACAAATGGTGACACTGTTAAACTGTGTTAAGACTCCCAAGATAGCAGGAACAGTCTTAGTACAAATAGTAACACTGTTAAACTGTGTTAAGACTCCCAAAATAGCAGGACCAGTCTTAGTACAAATGCTTAGTTACCACCACCATGTGTCCTCAGAAGTTTTTTGAGGGGTACAGTCACCCCTAGAGCAGCCTACAGAAGTAACTGGGGATAATGGAGGAACTTGATCAGTACACTGGGATGTTTGAAACTTGCAGAGGAACATAGATATGTTATGCTAATCTTCTAAAATTGTACTTATGAGCTAATAAAGAAATAAATCAGTTCTTTTCTTTTTTTTTCAGTGATTTATAACATAAAATGTGCACTTACTTAAAAACAATTATCAAACTACCATTCAAGTGCAGACATGGAGTATATATTTCTAACTTTTCATATAAAATTCCATAAGTGGAAATATCCAAAGGTGTACTTTTAATATATTTAATGATGTTAAATATTTTGTTATCCATGCTTTATAGAAATGTTTATATGACTAACTGGACAAAAATGAAATATATAACAGTTTACTAAAACACGAAACATATATATGTATCCATTCTAAGAAAATAAATTAAGAGTATATATCTAATACAAAATTATTTTGCCAACTACAACAATCATGTTGAAAAAATCATCCCTGCTACAGTATTTCTTGTTGCACCTACTGTACATAGTTATATCTATGAATAATTTAATGCTGTGTACAAGTAATATAAAGCAATTAAAACCAAGTGAAAAGTAAAACAATTACGCAGTTATTCAAAAGTCCATAAAATTCATTAATTCTCAACTTGTACTACATTTACATATAAAATGCATACAGTCATCATAAAATCTTAAGATACTGTAACATATTAGTCTCCAAAATCCTACAATTCACAAGATGAATGACTTACTACACAAAAGCTCTCATATTTCAAGTTGCCATGTACAGTTTTAGAAAAAGTAATTTCTTTAAGAAGCATTTTATGAAGTAACATGTAACACACAAATACATTTCAATTTAAAATAAAAACCTATATCCACCTATAGATGTACCTCAGTTGCTAGGATCTACTACAAAAACATAAAAACCTGTATGGTTTAGACTTAAAATAGATGTACATACTAGAGAATAACACTTCAGCCATAAAAAAATGTTGTAAAGACAATCATAAAAACAGTTTTGCTCTAAGTCTTTAGTTCATATTCCAATATCACTGATTATTACAAATGATAATACAGTTAGTGAAATAAACCACAAAGAGTACATGAAAACATTTATATGTATAAAGATAAATTTATGGAACACTTTAAGTTAGACATTAGAATACAAAAAATTAATACCAATCATTCCACAAGAAAAATCTATCCCATTAGAACAAAGTCTGTTATGTGAATATGATCCTACATAAGAAATAACTGCTTTATATACACAACATCGTTTTAAGGATAAATTTTCTTGTGTCTTGGAATAAGAACATACTCAATTTTGTTTCTAAGCAAATTATTATAGCAAAATAAATTCAGGGAAGTTATTCAACTAGAAATAATTAGTGGATACTGAACCTAAAATGCAATATTACTGTTGTAAATTTTATATGTCTTAAATTATTGATTCCACTGATGGTACTATCAACAAGAAAGAAAATGCTTTAAAGATGCTTGATAAGCAGTTTTATTTTCAGCTCATCCAAAAGGAACAAAATACATATATATAACATGCACTAGAAGGAAGAAATGAAGCCATGTGCTCTCCATTAAGTTATCACATTATCATTCTACATTTACTACGTCAAAACTGTCAGGAAACTTGAGAGCAGGTCCAACTAAAATTAGTCCTAAGAGTCATCCCATGTTTTCAGTCCTCCATTTTAAGTCTGAGTATATCTGATAGAAAATGTTTAACACTAAAAATGATCAACCCATATATTATTTGCACATGAGAGGTCTTTTCTAGTCTTACAGTGTATTTGAAATAGCAATACATTTAATATGTTATATGTAATTGTAAAACCTTGATCAGCGAGAATGTTAATAATATAGAACTTTACTTACATAACAATAAACATGTTATGTAGATAAAAAAAATCAAATATTGTACTAACTTCATTTATTATTACTATGTGAAACAATGCATGCATACTTAATAAGTTTATAAATATACTTAAACCTGAAAAGATTCTTCAGTAGATTCTAATAATATTACTATAAGGATAAATAATACAATCAAATCTGATTCAACTGTTTTTATATTACAGTAAAATGAGATCTATTGTGTCTGTCTATTGACAAGTGGCTTTACTAGCTAGAGTGAAAGCAAGTTTTAAGTAACAAGTATACAAATGCTCATAGTTAAGAGAAGATGAGAGAGACTAAATCAATTGTACTTTTAAATAATCAATATTTTATATTGAGATTACACTATCTTTGAATCTCTGCATTTGAAAGATATTCCCTTCTCAATATGTTAATGAAGCCTCAATAACATGAAAAATAATAGGATACAGTATTAGCAGCAAGTTGTAATGTACATAAGTTTTCAAACAAAAGTGACAAGATAATTGTTATCTGTAGACAATGTTAAATTGCAGTACATAGTTCCAAAGTTATGTGTGGCTGAATTACTGTTATATACTTTCTTAATGATACAACAGTTATCCTAAACCTTGACCTCTGTCCATTAGCATTCAACTGCTGAGCAATTAATTCTAATTTTAATAACTGACAGATTTACTGATAACTAGAGAAACATAGAGAAAGAAAAGGTAGAGCAACTATCTATTATTCTTGTGTTGTTTGTATAAAACATTTCAGATTCATGTTGAAAGCTACACATTGTATCTCAATATCCTACCTGCCACACTCCCACAACAGCATTCGCAATAAGGATAAGAAGGATGACAAACGGCTCAACAAAAGCTGTGATTTGTCCATCATTTTCTTCGAATAAAGCTAAAACCTGTGAGAAGTTCAAACAATTAAACTCATTTCTTCATACTTATAAAGTATAATATTACCATATATAGAAAGCTTCTCCTCTTTATAGTGGCAATAAAAAGGGGACAGCACAGCTGATTGCTGTTACTTACTTTGATGTTATATAATAATACAAAAAACATTAAAAAATAAAATAAAAATACATCTGTTTATGTTCACAAGCAGAAGAGCATACATACTTCAGTGGTAAATACATTTGAACAGAAAGCTATGCAGCTGTTCTAGAAACAAACAGAAACCTACACACCAGCCATCCTTTTTCATATACATGTACATCTAACCAAATGTGATCATTGTAATTTACTGAAAATAATAACTTTTTAATGCAAGAATTGGTGTAGATATTTGAGTTTGTGAAGTAGATTTAAACAAGATAGTTGTCTTAAGTCAAAGCTGTTATTAAATATGTTGATTATAGCAAAGTTCATAATGTGTATTACAAATCAGGGAAATTTTATTTTTAAAAACCATATTTTCAGTTAATATATTTTTCAAATATTTCTGCTCCTTTTCCTTATCACTGACTGGAACATATATTAATAAACTCATTTCATAAAATATATGATAGGATCTTTCATAAATTAAGTAATACTGTACTTACAAAAGAAATTACAGCAGCTAATAATAAAATCTTCACTAGTAGATCATCAAATTGTTCCAGTATAAGCTGCCATAGAGGTTTACCTATAAAATCAAAGGAAGCAATGAATAGTCACTTTATGCTATGCACTTAATGTTTAAAAATAGGTTGCATGAAATGAACATTTGGTATACTACTGTACTTAGAAAGGCTAACTGTGCTACCAGATCCCTGTTTAAAGCTATTTCTGGCTTGTCTCCCATAGTGCCAGCACAATTTGGAACCATTTATTTTATCAGTCATGTCTCAACAAACTCATCTTGCTATCAAGGAAGTTGGTTACATAAATACACATACTATTGAAGTAGGATGCTGGTAAATGATAATTTAATAATATACATACAGATAATTTTGGTTTTTAGATCACTGTGTTAAACATCCACTTTATAAGCATAGGTTTCAAATTTTACATCATCTGTTAAAAACTTTTTGTTTTTAATACATCAAAATTTCTTCATGTCTTTTCCTTTGCACACTTTTACTTTTATATATTAACAAAATTGTCATTTCTGCAAGAATAAGCTGTTTCTTTCAATATTTTTTAAATGTATTCTATATGTATAAATATCACATCAGAGATTTTTTTAACTTTAATGATACAGTTTAAATTCATCAAATAAAAAGTACAATATATATATGTGTGTATATATATATATATATACACACATACACATGCATACATACCAATCAGCATTATCTATATGTTGTTTAAGACACATAACATTGTAGAGAAAATTGACAAAGTACTCTACAGTATTGCTAAGCCTGACGATGGCTACTAGCTGAAAGGCTGTTACACTAAAATTTTTGAAACATGGAAAATATCAATTTTAGTATTTTTATATCATTTAATGTTTCTTGATCTCTCAAGAAAAAAAAGAGAGTTTAAGTGTCATTTCTTAGTCACATAGCTCAAACTTTCAAAGAAATAAAAAATAAAAAGACTGAAAATTGAAAGATCACTGTCCCAAGTGAGTTTTCAAGAAATATATATATACCTATATTCAGTTTCAACATACAGTGTTAATCAGCCATATTATATCAAGCATAGTTCAAAACTTTTAAATTTAGAAAACCCTAAAAAATTATAAAACAGTAAATAGGATATTAAATATTAAAAAAATCCTTTAAATGAGACATATTTTAAAGATTTGTGGTTTTCTGCAGGTATGCAAGCAATTAGACTATTAGCATTATTTTAAAGTAAATATTAACTTTCTGAATTCAATTATCTATATTTCAATAACATCATTGCTGTATTTTGAGTAAACAAGCTTCATTAATCTTATTGGATACTCGTTTCTGAATACCTTTTCACCATGCCCTGTTTCGTGAAGAGATTATCCATTTTTATTCATTTGTCTTTATTAAATCTTTAACAATATTTGTTTTTTAATCAGTTTTGAAAAAAAATCATGCTATACCACATGTAACAAAAATACATGCTTAAATATTATTGTAATATGTACTCACCTTCTTCAGCAGGTAATTCTGAAAAAAAAAGAAAAAGAAGAGGAGCTCAAACAAAAGTAACAGATATACAAATATAAGGCACTTTTTCAAAGATATGCAAACAGTGCTGAAAACATTAGTCCCTCATTTAAAATCTTCCTGTTCAATGCAAATTAACACAATATGGAACCAGAAATTTAAAAAATAAGACCACTGAAATAAAATTACAAACAACTTTAAACATAAAATGTTCACTGCAGTGTTGAAAGAAGTAATTTTATGCTCTCACATTGATTTACTCTATGGAAATCTAACAACATTTTTTATTTCCATATTCACATGCCTCAACTCTCACATAAATTTCTAAAGGCCTTAGAAATTTATTTCATTAGAGGCTATCCCAAAAATGCTGCAAAATATACTTCAAAACATGTTTCAAATTAAATTACATTGTGTACATGAAGAACAAAAAGTATCCATTGTACAATAGTTTTTTTTCAACCAAAATAGCAAAAATGATTAGTCTCATGGCTTTAAATCATGTGAAGTGCATGTAGTTCTTTCAATCTATATGGCTTAACTTAGAAAATCCAAGTCTATAAAAAAGTATGTAAAACTGTCACATAGAAAAAAAAATAGTTATAATGGCCACAGATGTACTTCATGGTACAAACAAAAACTTGCTACAATAATAAATTCCATGAAGCAAAATAAAAATTCTGAACTTAAAATAACTTGTTTAACTTTGTTAACAATTGGAAAACAAATGATAATGAAGTAGTACACAAACAAGTATAATAATTATTAACAAATCTATAGAAAAAAGTTAATTATATATAACACAGTTAAGTAAAAGAACTAGATAAACAGAAAGGATAAAAAAACAACAAGAAAGAAACTCATCTTGTATTACATTTATTACTATTCCATAACTCAAGCAATTTTCATTGATATATTAAATAGGCTACTTGTCACATAAACTTTTAAGAAACTCAACATGTGAGATACTTTGGACTACTGTTACAAATAATGGTCGGAGACCTCTTTTATAAAAGTTGAATTGTTCCTCATCACCAACCTAAATTATTAATACTTGTGTAAGCACAACATATACAATTGTGGCACTATTATAAATGAGTAACTGCGTTCTTTAATTATATTGAAGTAACATAGAAAAATTAAGTTAATATGAAATATATAGAAGTTTATCAAATAGTTACATTTTGTTCTAGAAATTTTAAAAGTTACACAACTGTAGCTTCTAATAATGATAAAATAAACCTTCAATACTGAACTCTGTTAGCTCCTAAACTAAAAGGGTTACTTTTAAGGAAATTGATAAAGATAATACATTTGTGAATCTAACCAGAAAGATCATGATAAGGATAAGTTTTTGGATAACACCACAATCTATAAAACAAGTTTTTTACTGGATTTGTAAATTAATTAGACTGGTTTCTTCCCTAAATATGTATTCCCACTAACCAATTCCCTCTAGATCCAGAACATGAATGTTTAAATCTAACGTTTCTTACTTAACAAGGAATGTTGGATTTACTCACATGAGTGGCCATTCTCATTCAAACACATTTTGGGATATATTACATTTCTGAATTCCTGAGAAAGTTATAATTCACATAAATAGCTATTCTCATTTAGTGCTGCTCTTTATATGCAAACAAAAATTATGCATGCCACAAGCCTTTTATCTCCCCTCAATTAGATTTGACTGATTCCAGTGCATCTTTCATGCAAATCATCATGCAATAACCCTCCACCAATATGAGTGTGACATATTCTCATGATGCATGTGACTCCCTCTGTTCAATTCTACCGAACTATCACTTTGAGTTTTGGCAGAAAATGGAAGCACCGGTTTTCAGTGGGAAGGAAAGGTGGAAAGTGTGACCAGAAGTAAGTACCTATCAAAAATATATTTTCAGTATAGAAAAATTACAACTTCCGATACAGTACATTACCTCCACTCACATAAATAGGTAGAATCCCACACTGAATAGGTGGAGGGACCAGTGCAAGGGAAAGAAAGAAGCATCCTTTAAAAGCATCTGAAAAACACTCCCTAAGATGAAACAGTCAGATTCTAAGACCTGATGTGGGAGGGCTGCACCACTTCTGAACCAGATATACTCTTCTCCCATCGTAGAAAGATGTCACACATATGGGTGGAAAAACAAAGAAGCACATCTAAGTGGGAGCAAACTAAGGTCAGATTATCATCCAAACTATAAAATATTTATGAAACTATCCAAGAAAATATAAAAGTGGGTAAACTTAAAAGGATGTGTCCTAGGTGTAGAGTAGCTAGGGCATGATGGATCATACACAGCATGTCAACTACATCCAAAACCCATGCTACTGGGAAACAACATCTACGTGGAGGTATGATGAGGATCATACTGTCAGTAAATCAACTACAATCCAAAACCCAGCCACTGGGTACCAACATCCATATGGGAATAGGAAAGAGGCTCATACTGCTGGCAAATTTACTACAATCCAAAGCCCAGGTCAATGAGAACCGACATCCTAGTGGGGTAGGAAAGAAGATCATACTGGTGGCAAGTCAACTGCAATCCAAAATTCAGCCACCTGGTGGGGTTAGGAAAGAGGATCATACAATCTTCCTCTCAAGTTCATGATACCACAGGGAATCAAGAACCCCCAGACCCATGAATGAGGCACATGTTAATATAAGAAATTGGTAGTTCAATCCAGGAGCCCAACATCTGGTATCGAAAATATGTCTATGTAATGTAAACCATCTCCTCAAAATTGAAATTGACCAGAACTTCCCCATGCACAATAACATCCTTGGATGAATAAGCATAGAGGGATAGCAGAAGGGGAAAAACCATAATAATTTGCAAGTACCTCCTCTGTGACCCGGATGGAGTAACAAAAGTATAATTGACGGAGGACTACAGACATCTGTATTACATGTGTGAGGACTTATGTTGATTGGTCCAACTCTAAATCCAAACCCCAGTCACTGGGAACCGACATTTATGAGGGAATAGGATGAGTGATCCCAATCGAAGGGGTGAACTGAAAGTTTGACAGCTCACTCTCATTTATATTTATTTCATGTTGGAGGATATCATGTCATCTACACCAGCAGAACACCACCTCCCTACTCTCAACTGAATGGTTATATAATCATTTATATATACTATTTGCATTTCATTAACCCATTCAGGAAGATGCCTCCACAGTCCACCACCCAGCAGATTTGAAATGAAAAGTGGTAAGGACTCTCAAACTCCACTAGAAGAAAAGGATGTGATGGAGAGTCCAGAGGAACAACAACACCTGAGACAGTGCAATGACCACAAAACCATATTTTTAAAAGCAGACCATACTGATTTATTCAATTCAAGGCATGACAAGGATGGGCAGTTATCCCCTTCTGCTTTACAGTCTGGGTCAGGCAAACTTTTTTAAGCAATTCCATTATGAAGATAAATCTACAAGCAAACTTGTGGAACATCCTATCTCTGCAGTATGCTTAGCGTGGCCATGGAAGTATATGTAAGTCAACATGGCCTTACAGTGCAGATTTGATCAGTTAAAGAATACGTAGCCAGGCACCACTCACCACAGATAAGGATCCAAACAAGAGCATTAATAAAAAGGGAAAAAAATCCCTGAAAAAATAAAGAATAATAAACATTAACTTACACAGTCAAAGTCTCACTAAAGTCTGAAGAATGGCTACAGATGGAAGACAATAACCCGAAGAGGAAGAAATGACGATCCTATGCAAATAGTAAGAGATGAACTTATTAGGGGTAGTCCACATGCCTGACTGAAAAATTTCCTCCAAGAGACGATAAAGATGAGATATCAATGAAAAGGTAAAGTTTTGATTTTGATGAGAAAATTATAATAAGGAATAAGCCAATCAAATTAAAAGCAAAATCCAGTTGGTGAGTGTGGAAGGAGAAAGATTACCAACAGAGGACAGATGCCAAGGAAGAAAGAGGTAGGAATGGGTACCATGGGGGAAGCCGTGCAGGCAATATAACAGCAAAGAGCACATACAGGACATAGAAGTCTATCTGGATCAAGATGAGAAAAGGATAAAGGATAAAGGTGGGAAATGGAAGGAAGGGAAATCTGCAAAAAGTTACCCTCACAAGCTGCTGAAGTTTTGGGGAGGCAAGGATGATCCAGATAAAGGAAACAATATGTAGAACAATAAAAAGTGAAACATCTATGGTAAATAAGTCAGACCTTTGATGCCCACAGGCTAAATGAAGAAAGAAATAAGTCTTAAGGGAAAGGTGAAATAAGGAGCATGTGGAGAGTGGTTTGAACAGAGGCAAAGTGAGGCAGTAAAGGACGACATTAACATCCCAATCTGAAAGGACAGCAACCTGTGGCATATCACAAATCTAGAAGGAATGCATCAACAGGGAAAAATTGGGAAAGGTAAACACCCTATGGTATCAGGAAAAACAAAAGATGTGGGACAAGGCCAGCCAATAACCTGATATAGAGAATACAAAGGACCCTGATTAAAAAGTCAAGTGAGGAAATCTACAATATGAGGAACAGTGGGTTGAGCAGATGAAAACCTTTGACTTAAAGGCCAATGGAGGAAAACATTCCATCGACACTGATAAACTTTGATGGAGGGAGGGTGAATGGAATGAGCCAGAAGAGAAGTTTCCCATGGGGAGGAGATCTGGCTTGTTCCAAAGGACTGGATAAAAACCAGGCATGAAGACGGAGGACAGGAAGGATTGAATGAAGCACCGGTGACTGAGGTTGACAAAGAAGAAATGGAGTAAGAAGAGGTAATGGAAGGGTATGTTGGAGCTGAAGTAGCTACGAAAACCATGACTGAGCCAGCCAGTGAGGAGCAATCAGAAGGACTTGACACAGAGTGGCATGAATGATTGAAATCACCTGATGAAGAAGTTGAATGGGAGAAGAGAGACATATAGGTATTTGTTGGTCCATTCCTGGTTGAAAGCATCGACAACCAGAGCAAGAGGATGAAAGACTGGAGACCA